ATTCCACTTACGAACTGACCATGCTGCACTGAAATGGCTATTGCAGTTCAAAAATCCGGAAGGACAAGTTGCGAGATGGATTGAACTATTGCAGGAATACGACTTTGTGATCGAACATCGCAGCGGGAAATCTCATGGCAATGCAGATGCATTGTCAAGAAGACCTTGCCCTGAAGATTGCAAGCATTGTACTAGGCAAGAGGGTAAGGAAGTGGTATCTGTGAGAATGCTCAGCACAGACCAGCTCAGCAATGAGTGGAAGGACAGCCTACAACATGCACAGCAGGAAGATTCGGACATTAAGCCGATTCTGGAATGGATGAAGGCCAGTGCTCCTAAGCCCAAGTGGAGCGACGTCTCAGCAATGAGTTCGACCACGAAAAGCTATTGGGCCCAATGGGACAGCTTGCTGATTCAGGATGGAGTCCTGTGCCGTAAATGGGAAAATGGTCGAGGAGACAGGTGTCATTTGCAAATGGTTGTCCCTAAGGCTAAAGTGCCGGATATTCTACAGCTGTACCATAGTGGTTGTTCAGGAGGCCACCTGGGAGTTAAACGAACTCTCCTGAAGATCCGAGAACGGTTTTACTGGGTCCACTGTCGTGACGATGTCGAGGACTGGTGCCGCAAATGTACAAGTTGTGCGGCTGTAAAGGGACCTCAAATTCGTAGTAGAGGCGCATTGAAATTGTACAATGTGGGTGCACCATGGGAGAGGATCGCCATTGACGTTGCGGGCCCGTTTCCAGAAACTGAAAGTGGTAACAAGTATTTCATGGTTGTGATGGATTACTTCACTAAGTGGCCAGAAGTCTTCGCCATTCCAAATCAAGAAGCTTCAACCGTTGCAGATAAACTAGTTCATGAAGTCTTCAGTCGTTTTGGAGTACCCTTAGAGATTCACAGCGATCAAGGAAGAAATTTTGAGTCTCAAATATTCCAGGAAACTTGCCGAGTTATGGGTACTCAGAAAACACGAACAACTTCTTACCACCCACAATCTGATGGAATGGTAGAAAGATTTAATCAGACATTGGAGAGGTACCTAGCAAAAGTTGTGGAAAAACGGCAACGAGACTGGGACAGGCACATACAACCGTTTTTGTTGTCATATCGAAGCGCTGTTCACGAAAGTACATCAGTGACACCAGCTTTCGTAAACTTTGGGAGAGAATTGCGGCTGCCTGCAGACCTGATCACCGGAATACCACCTGATGCCCCACGCAGTATAACCGATTATGCAAATGACTTGCGGAACAAAATGAATGACATTTATGAGCACGTCAGACAGACGGGCCAGCAAACGTCTGAAAAGATGAAAACACGGTATGACCGCAAAATGAACAACAAGGGGTTTGATGAAGGTTCACTAGTGTGGTTACACAATCCAGTTCGCAGCAAAGGGAAATCTCCTAAGCTTCAAGCTAAATGGGACGGACCGTACCGGATTGTGACAAGGATCAATGACGTAACCTACCGAATACAGAAAGGTGTCAGAGGTACTCCTAAGATTGTCCATGTGGATCGACTGGCGCGTTATTATGGGGCCAATAATGCTCGGGACGAGCATGTCTTAGGAGGGGGCAGTGTTACGCGCCACTATTAATGTCTTGTACATGGCAACACCAGTTACACTAGCGCCCCCTAGTGTCGAGTAAATGAATGTATAGCGCGCCACTATTAATGTCTTGTACATGGCAACACTAGTTACACTAGCGTCCTCTAGTGTCGAGTAGCAGAACTAGGAGAGTCGAGATCCTTCCAGAAACTTCGGGACCGATATATACTCGAACATTCTAGATGTCGCTACAGTAGAAGGTTCTGGAAAATATCTGAGGCCCTATATAAGGCCGGTATAGACCACGACCGGGGCAGTATTGAATTGGCGATACAAGAGAATACTTCGAAGCGAAATAACGGCGAACTGTGTTTTATTATTAGTGTGATTTTAGATTGTAATTAGTGTTGTGTAATTAAAGTGTCAATTTTGGTAATTCAATCGGCAGTTTTTAATTGTCTCGAACCCCAAGCTCGTAACAATACTATAGAGCGGGCATTGGGAAGATTTTTAGATACAAAAACTTTGAGCTAGTGCACGTGTGACGCCCTCTAGCTAAAAATAGCAAAACAACGCTAAGCATTTATTAACCCAACATTTTAGCTATTCCCCAGTAATAGACGCTAATAAATATAACACCGAATAGAATAGAACAGAATATTTTTTTATTCAATATACATTACATGTGTAATTCTTATTGAAATTCATTTTTTACTTTACCACTTGTTCGAAAAAACCCTCTGTCCTGGGAAGAACCAGCAAGAAACCCAGCGGGACTTTTTTTTTAATAAATTTTACAATATAAATGATTACGAACTATTTACAAAATTTATTTTAGAAACTGCTTGGAAGCGACCCCCTCATTCCCAGGGGTTATTATCAACCATGTATTCATTTATACTATAATAACGCTTTTTATACAGTTTCAGCTTAATAAAACATTTAAACTTGGTAATAGAGAGAACCTGTACACTTTCCGGGACCTTGTTGTAATAGCGTATACATTGCCCCAAGAATGAATTATTGACTCTGTGGAGTCGAGAAACTGGCATCACTATCTTGTGTTTATTCCTAGTGTTTACAGAATGTATATCCCTTTTTTTTCACCGTTTCAGGAATGTTACCGTTTCGATAGCAAAATATCGATAATGTTGTTGCAGTTTACTAAATTTGAAATGCTTTTCGATATAATAATAGGGAATATATATGATTATTTTATTGTATAAATCTATTTATCATGACTTTCATCACACGAAAAAAATCATAATATTAACTTTTACGCCCCTTTAGTGTCATGAAATATAATATTTAATTTCCAATAACTAAGAATCAATTCGAACAGCAGTCACTTTGGTTGCCACCTTGGTGGCATCTTGGATGACGTCACTCCGTCCATTAGATGCTATAATAATATCATATTAAAAATACATTGAGAAACGCCAAATCCAATAAGAGAGTGCCTCTATTCAGTACTTAAAGATACTATCAACATCAATAAAAATTTGTTATTTTAAGTTTTTACCTTATTTTCTAACTCAGGCTTAACCTACAATTTCTTGCATCTAATATCTTTAACAGTACAATTTTTTTTTAATGTAACAAACCTATAGCCCTCTCCTATCACTGTAAGCCAGGATCTATAATGGCTTTGTTCTTGAAAACCACCAGACAATGAAGCCCGGTGTAAAACCACCAGACAATGAAGCCTGGTATGTAAAAGAGAAGACTTGCTGTATTGCTAAACATCAACACAGCAAGTATCCTCAGCATGCTCATAAACAACACAGAAAATCTCATCAGCATGCCTAAAAAAATTTCTCACCCTTGCTCCACATAAAGTAGGCTACTAAGGATAGTTGATATATGCTACTCATTTTTGTTGGCATGGGTACAGTATCGTTGACTGTTTTACCTCCTTAAATATTGTAAAGGATTAAATCGGCATCCTGTTTTTTTTTATCTATAACCCTATTCGTTAAACGTCGTCTATCACAACTTTAACATTGGTGATTAAATAGTGACATTACTGGATAACAGAGGGCGCTTATTGCAATAAAAATAAATGTTCTAGAACAATCTACTAGAAATAATAAAATTTAAAGGTTATTCGGTAAATATACGCTATACTTACGATAGTTATCGAAATCACGTTCATTTCTTGCTCCATATCGTTACTTACAATATCTTAATGCACAACCGGGCATATTTTCTTTAAAAATATTTTTTCGAATATATAAAACGAATGCGTCTTGAATTTTAACGATGTCACTAAAACTAAATGACAAAAATCGGAGATATGTCCTATAGGACAAAAGTTACAGACGACAATTTTGCTGATCTTTGATCGTACATAATATATATCGTAGCAAGTGGCGTTCTGTGGTTCTGCCTACCCATACAGAAAAAAGAAAATCATTTTTTTAATTCGCGCCATCTAGTGTTCTATCTTCGTAAACGTAGGGACTAGGAATACTATATTTAATGGCAGGTGGTATTTTAAGGCTCTGTGTCGAATTGTGTGGATTTTAAGGCAATGATATGACCTAGTACAATAAAGTAAAATGTCCGAGTACCGCGGGCGCTACTTACATATATATATATATATATATATATATATATATATATATATATATATATATATATATATATACATAAACACTCACGCCTGTCACCCAGAGGGGTAGGCAGAGACTACGGACTTCCATTTGGCGCGATCCTGACACACCTCTCTCGCCTTCTTTACATCCATATATCTATGCATACCTACACGCTCGTCAGTTAAGGGTACTCCTACGACTTAATAATACTTATGCGCTACTTCTACGACTTAATAATGTTCCAATTACACAAAATCCCAAATAAACTAAAATATGTCTACAGCGTCATCTCGCGGGAATATGGTCGAGAACAGACCGTAAGTTTCACCTTAAATAAAACAAAAGCTTGTTGCAATGTTATACGTTTTGGTTAGATGACGACTAGTTAGAAAACGAAATTCAAAGTTTATCTACTCGCCGATAGATGGCGGTGGTGAACAGAGATTTCCGAGAACTGAGAATGAATGATATGTCTTGCATTCTTTTCAATTTTGAAGCTGACGATTTAAATTGAGAATTTGAGTTATATAGGTATATTTTATTTATGTAAAGCTAATGACATGTTTCTCGTTCGTGTTTTTATCTATTTTACGTTCCGTTTAAAGTACAAATTTGATATTTTAATTTGTCATAATCCTAGAATTTAGATTTTGTATTAAATTGTTGTTGATAACGCGGTCGTGGAGGTAAGCAAAAATGTAATCATGATGTGCCTTAAAAATAAGCCATATTCGAACCCACAAGCAGCCTTCTTACCATTATAGAAGTATTGATGATATTTGACTGTTCTCCCCCATTTATTAATCCTGTATGATACTAATGACTTGAAACTTTCAGAAGCAAACATGGAAATGGTCGAAATAGATCCTAAACTTTTCGTCACTTGTCGACTTTGCTTGGATCATTTGGGAGTATACCAGATTGTGCCAAATGTACAACGGCAAATAAAATTTTGCTACGATATTGAGGTAAGGCTACATAAATAAACGCTGCAACACTGGCAGCGTTTATGTACATGAAGTGTTCTATTAAAATAATTACTTAAATATTATTATACTTCGTTGACTGTTGACTGACTGGGTAAGTCTAATTACGCCTGAGAAGTAAATAGATGGATCAAACTTGGCTGGGTAGCATTTTTGGGATAATAATTATCTTGCCTCATATTACTCAAAACTTGAAAAGAGTACTAGTGAGTGTAGCCAGTGATGACATATAGATCAGAAACACGGTCCATTACTGTAGGCTGTATGGGAAAGCACACGGTCCCTTAGCAAGCTATCTATTGAGGGCTGTACTCTGTGCATGATAAAATTCAATTTTAAGATATCTGCAGTCTAACCACAGTAATTGACATAGCCCAATGGGCCAGTAAGCTGAAGATGCAATGGGTCGGCCATAAAGCTCAAAGAACCGACAGTGAATAAGAAAGAAAAGTTTTAGAGTGACTGCTAAATGCTGAAGAATGAAGACTGAGGTGCCAGTCTTCTATCTTCAGTAGATAGAGTGATGACCTGGCAAGACAAGCTGAATCAGGAGGCTCAGGATTATGTTTTGTGGCAATCCTTGTGAAGCAAGTCTTGTGAAGGTAGGGTTACCAGATAAAAAAATCAAAATACCGGAGAAAAGGCCTGATTTCCATTGAAAAATCCTGAGATTTTTTACAGTTTGAAAAATTTCTCTCCAACGTACTTAACAATTTAAAAAAAAGTCATAATATTATAGGTACCACCTTTATGACAACAGTGTCGCACATTCACTCAGACTCACACTCCACCCCATTGCGAAGATTGGACTGTTTTAACCATACTCAAGTAAATCATCATCATCAATCAATCTCAATTTAAAATGAAATACTCAATACCATGCTTTAACCGTTTTCAAGACAATAATAGGTATTTCACGATTACTAGAGATAATGCGTATTTGTCAATATATATTTGCAATTACAGCCCAGAATGCAAGCGTAGAAAGTTTTTTTCTATTATGGGGGCTCAATGGTCGAATGAAAGAAACCGAGCAACGGTGTCTTCAGTTTGAGCTATATTTTTAATTCAATGTAATTTGAAGAGTAACATATAGGGCATTATATAAATCAATACTTAAAGAAAAAAACCTTACTTAAAAAGGTATCTTCATATATTAAGTATGATAAAACTGTTTAAGTAAATAAGTTTTGATTTTAATTGTGCAATTATTACCAAAGGAAGTTTATTTTTAGTTTCTTTAACTTTTTATTAAAGAAATCTTTAAAATGTAAGCTGTTTGTATTGAAAATTCTGAAAATCCTGAGATTTCATGAGATTTGCAAAATCCAGCCGCAATCCTGAGAAAAGTCCAAAAATCCTGAAATCTCAGGACAAATCCTGAGATGTGGTAACCCTATGTGAAGGGCTATGATGATCATGATTAACTCATTCATCCAACTCCAACAACAAAGTCCAAGAAAATATGCAGACCTTTTATATAAAAAGGTTTAAATTATTTATTAAGAAAATATTATCTAGTAAGGGTTATTATACTACTAAAGAATACATGACTGATAATAACCCCTGGGAATGAGGTGATTGCTACCATGCTTTTTCTAATGGCTAAGATTAATATCCTATCCATCCACAAACTGCCCTACTAGAGTTAGAAATTTGACATAAAATGTACGGAACTTGTGTCAAATATTAATCTCTAGTAGGGTAAATTGTGGATAGATGGTATATTAATTTTGTCCATAAATGTTTTCATAACAATTGTATAAAATATTGTATTGTAATTTGTGCTTTTTAAAAAGAAAAAGTCCCACTGGATTTCTTGCTGGTTCTTCCCAGGACAGAGGTTTTTTTTGGGAACCAGTGGTAAAAGTAAAAAAAATTACTTTCAATATATATTACTTATGTACTGTATACTATATTGCCATTAAAAATGATTCTATTATATTCCTACTTATTGCAGTTTGTTCATGTGCTTATTCAAGTCCCAACAAAAATATTTAAGTAATACATCATATCTGTTAGATGAAATATTGATATTATGATTGTTATTACACTATTATTAATACTATTAATTATTTCATTATTATTTACAGGTTGACCCATTTGATGGTTTGCCCCAGTTGATTTGTAAGACCTGTGAATGTATTTTGACCAAGTATACTGACATTAAAACCACTTATATTGACAAGCAAAAAACATTGAGGGAGAAATTGGAGAGAAATGTCGTAAGTACTATTTCAAGAAAAAAAATTATTAGCTATTAATTACCCTAACATTTTAAAATCAGTAGGTTTATGAAAGTTAATTTAGATATCCTTGTGTGCTTTAATGGAGCTACATTCATTTATTTTTCCTTAAAATTTTTCTAATTTTATAGCACTATGTTATGTATGGTATATAGTCATTACGAACTTCCATCCACCCGAAAAAGCCGGTTTCTGAAAAGGCTTTAGCACCATAGGCAAATTGTACAGAAGTCTAAGGAATACAATTTGCCACTATGTCTGGCGTATGTGGACTATGAGAAAGCCTTTAATTCTGTCGAAATTTGGGCGGTGCTGCAGTCCCTTCAGCGGTGCCAAGTTGACTGTCGGTATATTGAAGTGCTGAAGTCTTTGTACAGTAGGGCTACGATGGCTATCCAAGGACAGAACTGGAGTACGAAACCTACTAAAATGCAGAGAGGTGTAAGACAAGGTGACGTTATATCTCCGAAACTCTTCACCGCTGCATTGGAAGATGTTTTCAAGACTGGAAACAATACTTTATTAACATCAACGACGAGTACATCACTCACCTTTGATTTGTAGAGGATATAGTCCTTATGGCAGAACTGCTGGAGGACCTAAGCACTATGCTCAATAACCTCAATAGTGCCTCCCAACAGATAGGTCTTAAGATGAACATGGACAAAATAAAGATCATGTATAACGTCCATGTCACACCTATGCCGTTAGTTGTTGGGAGCACTAAGCTCGAAGTTGTTGACAAGTATGTTTACCTGGGACAAATATTCCGACTAGGTAAGTCCAACTTCGACCGAGAGGTCAAAGTTGGACATACCTAATTCAACTCGGCTGGGCAGCGTTCGGGAAATTACGACACATCTTCTCGTCAGTTATTCCTCAAAACTTGAAAACAAGATTGTACAACCAGTGCGTGTTGCCAGTGATAACCTATTGAACTGAGACGTGGTCCTTCACTGCTGGCCGGATGAGGAAGCTCAAGGTCGCTCAACGAGCTATGGAGAGTTTCTCTGCGTGATAAACTTAGAAATGGGGATATCCGCAGTAGAACCAGAGTGACCGAAATAGCCCAACGGATGAGTAAGCTGAAGTGGTAATGGGCCGGCCATATAGCTCGAAGATCTGACTACCGATGGGGAAAAACGGTTCTAGAGTGGTGGCCTCGTACCGGCGGACGAAGTGTATGGCGTCCCCCCACTAGATGTAGTGAGGACCTGGTAAGACATGCAGGAAGTAGATGGATGCAGATGGCTCTGGACCATGCTTTGTGGCATTCCTTGGGGGAGGCCTATGTTCAGCAGTGGACTTGTGTTCGGCTGTAGTGATGATGATGATGATGATGGTATCCCTCTTTATTCAATGAGATTGCTTATTCCCTTGAATGTGAATTTTCCACATTTCAAAATGTAATATTTTTAATTTGATTTAGAAATTAAAACACTTTTATCCTTAATAATTTATATTGAAGTTGGTTGTACAAAATTTTTAATTTTACCACTTGCACTACACACGCACTACACACGCATAAGGGTCGCTTGGTCTGCCAAATTGTTTTGAATTGAATCGCACAAAGAGGAGCGCGCGCACACTTAATTGTTGCCCATAAATCACATTCAATTTAATATAATTTCAAATAAAAGTAGTAGCTTTATTTACTCGTGTTTACAAAAACTGCAATAACGGTAGCTATATTATAATTTGTTCAAATGCTCATTAAAATAATTCAAAAATAAGCTATATATTTTTCACATCTCATATGTATAACTGATTACGAGCACAACATACATTACAGCCTATAAAAAGTTTACTGCTGAATATAGACCTTGTCCAAATATTTTCTCATAAGGGATATTTCGAATAATAGAATAATAGATGGTTGGTTTATAACATACTTACCCTCAATGTTACAAAAACATTGAGGGTAAGTATGTTGACCCATGACCTTTGCTTTAAGAAAATTGAATCTACTTACTTCTGGCTCTATCTTTGTTTACCACTGCGACTCTAAATAACACCTCTTGTTTGTGCCCTCTGCTGGAAAGGGTTGAATCCCTCAAATATCTAGGAATCATTGTTGATTATACTCTCACCTTTAAGTCACACATAGATATCCTGGTCTCTAGACTGAGAAAACTTATTTATATCTTTTTTTATAGGATAGGTTGACAAGTAAGCACAGTCCACCTGATGGTAAGTGGTTGCTGTGGCCTATAGACATCTACATCTATCATCCTTGTTTGCGAATAAATACGCAGATGCATTGTCATCCATGAGGACTAAGATGGAATGCCTGTTTTCCAGTAAAAAGGGCCTCCTATTTCTCTACACTCACCATAAGAAACAGCATTGTTAAGCTACTATTTTAGGCTGGTATTCTGTGAGATTTATATTTTTAAACGCCTTCAACACATATGTGATCGTTCTATAGTTAAATCTACTTTATATGCTTTAAGATAATCTATAATCAACTATTGCATCACAGTGTGCTTACAAGCTCAGAGAGCAATTTTTAAAACTGTAGCTAGGCTCCCTTATAGACATGCTACTACGGAACTGTACAGGTTATGGGATGTCCTCACCGTTAGACAAATATTTATACTAAAAATAATAACCAGAAAGCAGTCCCAATTGAATTACGATCTCAATCTCAGCACTTCTAAAAGGAGAAAGGACAAAGTCTGTCCTTCTACGATGGTTCAATCCATCTTGGCCAAAAGACACTACAACTACCTTAGCAATTATATCTACAACAAATAAACAAGCTATTATCCATCTATCTCCTATCTAAACACAATGAAATCTATAAATCCACAGAAAGTTTCTTACATCCTCAATTGTAATATCACACACATTATATATAATTATAATATTAATATGCATACACTTTAATTTTAAATATTATATGTCTACATCATTATTTAAATTGGCTTTGTTATATGGATACTTCATTTTATTAAATATCGATTTTCTCATAACTAATTAAATGGAAGTAATGATCTATACAATATAGTAATTTAGTTATGACGGACTGCTTTCCACGTCAAAGCACGAATTTTGCGTGTGGGCAGGATTATTTTGATTATTCAAGCCATGAAATCTCCCCAAAGGAGTTCAACAGTATTTTCATGTTGTGAGCAACTTCGGGGAATGATCTCGGCGTGCCGAAATGTATAGCTCTCTATGTAGTGACTTCCGGACATGCCAGCAACACGCGGGCCGCCGTTTGCTTCTCCCCATACATGCCACGTACAGGGTACTTTCTGTAACACCTATAGTAAATAAATGTTTATTAAAGGAGCCATGTCCTGTAATAACACTTGTTGCTATCCTGATCTGTGGATTGTTCAATGTCATTAAGACCTTGGTTATACGACTATTTATTTCTTGCAGGGCCTCTCTAGCTTGCCTACAGTCCACTAGATTTTTGAGCGTGTTGGTTAGTAAACTTTTCTCCTATCACTAAAATAATGTTACCTAAAGGGATCGATGATCGGTTCTGACCCTATAACGGCCATAGCCGATCCTCTCCTGGCCAGTTCATCTGCTGCGTCATTACCCCTGGATCCACTGTGTCCATTCCATCCATTGCAGAGTCACATTGTTGTGTTAACATATATCATTTAGTCATTGATGGTATTCTTATATTAGTCCCGAGTTCACCACATTGCAACTCAGAGCTTGTAGCACCACCGTACTGTCGCTCAGTATTCTGATGGAGAAGTCTTTTATCTTCCTAGCATTTATTGCTATGGCCGCTTGGATGATACCCATACATTCTGCCTTGAATACTGTGTTGTGGGTGCCCAGCGGTGTACATATGTGGATATTGAGGTCTTCTGAGAAAGTTCCAGGTGTAGGATACACCTTCATTTGTTTGAGAACCATCCGTGAAAATTCTTAAGTTCTTTTGGGTTTAATCCTTCTGGCTGGTTAGTTTCATTTCCGTGGCGTAGTGGCTTAGCAATGGGTTGCTTGCGCTGGGGGACGCGGGTTCGAATCCCGCACGGAACAAGTATTTGTATGGCCTACAAATAATTGTTCCGGGTCTGGATGTTTGTCCTTGTGCAATTTGTGTTTGTAAACTGCCTCCACGATACAGGAGAAAATCCTAGTGCGGGGGTAACGTTTTAAAAAAAAAATTAATTGTATCTTATATTTCTTATCAAACACAAACTGTTTGGGGATCTTAACATAATTGGTAGTGTTGCCCAAGTGCAAGAACAAGACGAGACTTAGCCAGTCTTGATCTTGGCGTTACACCAATACACCTGGTTTTGGTTTTGGTCTTGGTATTGCGTTCCCAGTCTTGGTCTTGGTCTTGCAGCAAGAGTCTCGCAAGTCTCGCAAGTACCTATTAGCCTATTGCTATTTATTAAACGTTACTTTAGATCTTAGAACAACTTAACAGAGTAGGTACATTTTGAGTTTGAAACATAGCCATAGTAAAAATCAACCAAATTAATAAATGTCTGAACATATAATGAAAAATTCGAAAAATAAACTGACACCGGGTGGGGTTTGAACCCACGACCTAAGCGATCCGTGCCCATGCTCTAACTAACTGAGCTATCTACCGTGTCCCTGTAGTAACGGGAGGCAGTCTGTTTCTTAATAAACGTTTACATTTAATAAGCTTACATGTGCTAAGACATGGTTAAAACCATCGATCACTAATAAAAAACTAGATGCACAATCCCATACAAAAGTTCTCTAAAAACTGTCGCCAAATATTTTGATGTAATTCTAGTTGATATAAAGATTCACATTAATGTGAATTCAACCTTAAATGAAATGCCGAAAGTTGTATTGACAAAGCAACATACAAAAAGCAATAAAATTTTACGACCGAGGCTCGTCGCTTGTACAAGGAGAGTGGAGTCGAACTGCACAATATTTTTTGTTACTGTAATTTTAATTTCACAATTTTTAAACTTGTTTTAAATAATTGGTCTACTTAATAAAGCATATTCTATTTTATT